AAGAACAGTTAGGCTTTAAATATAAAAAAAAACTACACGTGGATTCAGTTATATTTGTTGAATAATAATTATTCTATAGATATTCTATCTTACATGAAATACTGATCTATGATTGTACAGAGGGTTGGATACGTTATATGAAAACAATTTCTTGAGCCTCACAGTTACGGTCATACTCTATCCGACGACCATGTCTCTTAACAATAGTCCTGCAGCGTAGTTTCCACTGAATAGAGCTCCGTCATACAGGCGTCATATTCAAAGCACATTACTCCTCCATGATAGGATGTGTTGTGGAAGCAATTTGTGTATAGGTGACTTAAGTCATTTTTTTCTAGAAGGATATCCATATTTATTATATTACTTACCGTTGCTTGTGGCATGTGGACAGTTTTTACTACTCACCTTTGTGTCCGTTGATTCTCGCCTGTTATAAGACGTCGCACTTTGCTTTCCGTAATTGAAGTAAGACTTGTCGCATGTCTCTTTCTGGACATTCCTGTGTTTTCTAATGCCACTGAGTATAAGAGATATCCCCGTCTGTAAATTATACGTCCTAGATATGTACACATCTTTATAATCTGAGTGTATGGGTATTTTGTAGCTTAAAGGTCTATTACATATCCTTCATAAATGAAAACATAAAAAAATAAATCGGTGGCATAACACTACCTATGAAACGCCAAACAATGTCAGTAAATGTAGTTCTGATATATTCCGTTCCACAGTGACTTTATATTGGCTGTGATTGTCAAGAGACTTGCTATTTGCACAGTCAAAATAGTTTTAATATAACGTACTCAATAGTGGAGGCAATAAAGGCTGGGGCTGAAGCTATCTCAAAACGTGCCTTAGTCCCCTCTGTAACCACTCGCACCCAACGAAATGCTTACTATTATATCTATTTCACTTCCTAAAAAAAATACAATATGTTTACCCACAAGATGTATAGTATAGACCCCTCAATTGTTTGTCTAGCCCACCTCAGACTCGTTAGTATTCAACTTTGTACAACTAACGAATTTCACTCAATGAATGTAATAAGATACGCTACAGAAACTAATGTCTATGTGTGCGTTTTGTAATAAAACTTCAGTATTCGCCATTTCCTTTAGCTTATGACTTAAATTTGAATGTGTTCATTATAGAAACTTAGGTAACCCTAAAATGCTCCTCTCCTCTGGGTGGGGAGAAAGTTGGTGCATTAAACATTCCTCACAGACTGTTGAAAGAAATTAATGTTTAATAGTACAGTTTATGACTGAAGGCTCGTCTTTGTACAATAGAGTACTGAGTACAAATTTTATTGTATTTTGAGACTGGGTATGGCCTCATTTCAAATATTTATTATGTACTTTTAAACGTTGGTTTCTTTCAACAACTGTGGTGTTTAAAACTTTAAACAAGTGTCGTTTTAACTTTAATACCCTAGAGGTTTAAGTAAAATTAAGATTGAAAATGAGGGTCCGCTATTAGCGGTGTTTTATTTTGTGTGTGCTAATACGATTTTTCTGCAGCACAACTAAGTGCAAATAGTTTTTTTATCTATTCGGTACTGTCACCGTAATGTTACGAAATATTCAGTCACTGCCAATGCTACGTTATTGTCAGTTATCACGTGTCTTTCTTCAAGAGCAATAAACTGATCCACTTACAGAGATTTTCATCAAGATTATAAAGATATAATTTTAACGGTTTGTTAGTTTAATTTCGCTCAAAGTTACGAAAGCTATCTGCGTTAGCCGCCCCTAATTTATAAGTTATAGATTACTAGTTAATACCACACACCATTTTCCAAAGAAAAGTAGAATTGGCCATTACATTATACCACCGTTACGGCTGAAAAGACGCGCATGTTCGGTGACGGCATTTAAACCCGCGACCCGCACTTTGTGATTCAAGATCTCTGACCACTAGACCAAGCTAGGCCTCTTTTGGCATTCTCCGAATAGTTTAGTTTATTCTAGGCCATCATTATTCAGCTTGAACATTTTCATAATCATGGTTTAAAATATTTATAGGAAATTCAGTTTGTTAGTTTGTTGTGCCCACCACGGGTATGAAAACCTGATTTTTAGCGCTATAAGTCTTACAACCGAGTCACTATAGGGCAGGAAAGTCAGTATTTAAGTTTCATTCGCTGGGTAATAATGATCACAGAGTAAATACAGGATCCGCCAAAAGAAGTGTAGGGATTTTATATAGTTAGCTTTTCCAAAGTATTAATAAAAAACATTGTCTGTCGTTTTCAGAATGAAGATTAAGGATTCGAATTGTAACGATGAAAAGATGGACAATCCAATAACTTTCTCTTATTGTTGAGCTTTATTTCACAATGAATGCTTCATCATTTCTGCTCAAAGAGCATACCGTCGAGAACTTGGTGTTAAACATGTCCTCAATGGGAATTATTGTTTCAACAAGATGGAGCCCCCTGGCATACAGTACGAGCAACAACGGCAATATTTCTCATAATGGAGACATAAACTGACGATCCCCGGATTTATCAGTAGCAGACTTCATTTTGTGGCGTTACTTGAAGGACAGAGTGTATATCAACACGCCACGGACATTACAGGATATGAAAGATAACATAAAAACGGAAATTAATGACCTTTCACGTGAAACTTCGATATTTGCAATGAGGGTTCGTGTGTGAAACTGGTAACGCATGGTGGCGCCAGTATCGCTGCGGTCCCAGCACTGGGCCAGCATGCTTCGTAATTCAGCATTTGGTCAGTCACTAATCCTGTTTGAGCAGTACCTGAAGATCACTTGTTTTCCTGACATTTATTTTACCAGTTCCACTAAAATTAGTAAGAAATGTGAAAATTGGAATATTATCATGATTAAGATTGAATTTAAATGCAGTGGAGCTAAAACTACTAGTAGAAAAGCCGATTTGATTGACAGATAAATAAATAAATAATATTAGCGATAATACAGTGTCAGACTATTGTTTTGTTACATAAAACAAGAACCTTGTTCTAAATTGCTGAATAAAACGATGTATAAGTTAGCTATTGAAAGAAATTAATGATAATGAGTAACCTTTGTTCACATTTAAATATGTATATTTGGTACTGTCACTCATATCTTATAGACTTAGGACTACGATAGTTTCCTCGGGTGTGTCAACTACTGGCTGGTTGAAGCTTTCATCCTTTTGAGTGCTCACTTGGTTTTTCTTATGGACTGTGGTGTGATTGTCTTGGACCAAATTAACACACTTGGAAGGGCACGTGGTTCTACTTGTCTTCTTTGGGTTGAAGGTCCAAACAACAAAATATTATATATATATAATATTTATAATATTTACTGACAATCACTTTCCAGGCCTACTACGGAGTAGGTATTATTGAAATATTAGTCTCTATCATGTATCATGTATCACATAACCCTGGTCATAGGTCTATACAAATAATTTTATAGACTAAGCTTAGCTAAATGGGACGTGGTGGGGGAGTGTATTTTGAATAGAAAAATTTAAAACTTGACTCAATATGCAAAGGTTATAAAAAGAAAATAATTTTAGACAAATTTTAAAATAAAAAGCAGAATTATTGAAAACTTTATTACACATAGGCCTACCATAGCTAGTTCCAGATACATAAATGTTAAGCACAAGGTGATCATGACAAACAATAACTCCTTTCTTCGGTTTCCACTGGTCCCGTTCGAACACATGAAACCACTTTCTAGACAATTCCAAATTTGAATGTCACAAATGACCACCAGGCACACAACAAGTCGTATGAGGAATTTTGAGCTATTATAATTATTATCATTATATTATATCTATGAAGTAAACAGAAAGCACGATAATATGGCGAGACAAAGAACATGAAGAATATAAATATCCGGGTATCTGACAATAGACAAAGGGCCGCATCGCTACTGGCGCCGTCTACTAGAATAATTAGCACAGTCCTCATAGATGGTGTCATCTTTAGAGCTCGCCAGTGTGTAGCAGTTCGTGGTGTACACCTACCGGACATTATTTTTTACACTTAAATGTTACAATAAATCTGATTAAGCTAAATAATAAACACAAATTATTACCAGTAAATGTTGTTGTCGATTATTGCAGTTTTAAATTTTTACACTTCTTTTGGCGGACCCTGTACATATACACAATGTAATGAATTGCATAAGTTAGGGTATGTGAGGAGTAAGGCATGAAATCTAGAACAATATTTCAAAATCGTTCATTGATAAACTAAACGAGAGCACGTTAACAAGGTGTAACATTCTGTGTAAAGCAATGGGCTGTCATACAAATTACTATAATATTAAGTATCTTACTTGTTATTTTATGTACTTTCTTGGCTAATATTTGCAGCATTAATAAATTCATCATTTAACTGTCATTATTAGTTGCTGGTGATTCTTGCACGTACAGAGTGTTCCAAAAGTCTGGACACATAAAGCTAAACCAACACATTTCTAATGTCAGTCGTACATATTTTAAGAAAGAAACTACCCTGATGTCACAGTATAACAAGAAATGATATGTGTATGGCTGTTAATGGCATGAAATTTGAATAATAAATAAATTAAGGAAAAATTGTGTATTTTTCCCTATTTTAATATGAATTTAGTTAAAGCTTTTTTCTTCGATAAAAAAATGACCTGCATCAGCTATTTGCTCCATTTGTTTGATTAATAAAATAATTTTGGGTAACTAAATACGTTGAACATAAACTTAAATATTCCCAAAAAACCTACTTTTCATCTTCTGCTTCGGCACAAAATTGTTTGCAACAAGGTTTATAACTTTTAATAAAACTGAATACAAGAACTATGATCCGTTGTATAAATTACTTATGCTATCTATAATCACACAGAAGAAATTATCAGGAAGTGTTATTAAAGGTTAATAACGTGTGTCTGACCGATCTTTTTTTTTCTTCTTGTTTTTACATATGCTTACCAGATAAGAAATTATCTTTTTAGACATGCGCACTAAGTATTAAAAGTAGGCCAAGCGAGATTATTTTATATAGCAGTCACTGTGTTCGAGATGACACCGAGGTAGGACTTAACCACGCACAGTTGCATGCTTAATCTACCATCACCATGGCAAATAAACGGGAACTTTTCTGTGGACTAGAAGGGTATGTTCATGTAAATAAATATTTATGGTACCACTGAAAAATGAAATAGTTTGTGTGTGTGTGCGTGTGTTTGTGTAAAAATGTGCAAAATTACAAAGCTAGAAAAAATACCTTAAAAATAGATAATCGTGCATGATGACGTAACAAAGTTCGGTGAGATATTAAGTATATTTTTATTTGTTTCACAAAGTTTGGGATCTTGAGTAAGATGTTAACTAGAATGTGGGTAGACTGGCAAACTATTTTATCAATACAAGTTAAAGGATTTGGAGAATCGTAAATTTGTTTGTTTGTCTTAGAGTAAAACCACATCGGGCTCTCGTTTGTGTCCACTGCGGTGAATTGAATCCCAGATGTTAGTTAGCGTTGTAAGTCCATACACTTACCGCTGTCCCACCAGGGGACAAGAATCATAAGACAGCTTAGATTTATTAAACTGGGAAAGTTGTACAAATAAGTCAGCCAACGGAATTGAAACGTTTATGTAGCTTGATTGGATTAAGGATTAAAGGATTTAGATAGATTAGCATTATGGGAGAGTTGCATAGATAAGTAGGCTAGTGGATTGAATGGGTTGACGAATGGATTTTTATAATAATTTTCAATTAATAAAACCTCCATATGTAATGTATTGAAATTGTTCCTGCATTCTTAAGTGAGACTAAAACTCCAATATTTCCTGTAATCGTTGCGAATATGTGAGTTGATATATTAAATTGAAAATAAATACTGTTGCGTCAGCGAGTCACGTGACTACTGTGACGCAACGTTTCTAGAACTGTCATGTACTTTGGCGAATGCTCTAGTATTTACTAGATATAGGGTAGGCTGGTATATAAAAGAGGGGAATTTAATGTGTGGAAGATAGTGAGTAATTGAACTGCAGTCAGAGAGCACGAGAGACGTTACAGCGTTTGTTTAGCGCGATTGTTGAAGTTGAGTGTATCGGTAAAGTTATATTCGGAAAGAATAAACCAGTTTTTATTAAGAAAGAACTTGTGTCGCTTAAGTTTCGTCGGAACGAAGTTACGGAAAGTTAATTAACAAACGGAGACGTAACAATACATATTGATGTTAAATTATCATGTTATTTCCTTTTTCTTATAATAGATAATTATTTGATTATTCACAGAATCTGATATTTTTAAGAATGCAAATAATACATAACAGCCTACATTTTACACCAGTTTTATCTCTAGAAGCGAAAATTTCATCCAAATACAGGCGGATGAATAAACAATTATCAAAGTGGTGCATAGCGAGAAAGTAGCATCATTCGGGGAACCCTGGCATGGTTTGGCGGTTAGGGCACTCGATTCACAATCTGAGGGTGGCGGGTTCGAATCCTCATCTCCAAACATGCTTGCCCCTTCTAGCTGTTGGGGCGTTATAATGTGACGATCAATCCCACTATTCGTTGGTAAAAAGAGTAGCTCAAGAGTTGGCGGTGGGTGGTATTGACTAGCTGCCTTCTCTCTAGCCTATTATTGCTAAACTAGGGACGGCTAGCGCAGATAGCCCTCGTGTAGTTGTGTGCGAAATTCAAAACCGAACCAAAACCAAACAAGCATCAGTCGGGGTATTAATGTTGTTGTTTTTACAGCGATACTGAGTACTTGTCTGAAGTCCACTATGAGCGCCGATGGAGTTGAATGGCTCTTTTGTATTTCATAGTTGGTGGTAAACTAGTTCGTTCTTATCCTCTGGACAAAGTGATGTTTATAATAAAATGCAAAACACATTGATTATTCTACATTACATGAAGCATTAGCTTATGAAGAATATTGACTGAATTAATCGAGCTAAAAAAAACAACCTCTCCATTCTTGTATATCAGAAATGAAGTAGCCCACGCACTACTCTTTCTTAAGAATATGGTTCGTGTCTGTGTCCCTTACTTTTTAGAAACGTGGAATATGCAGTAACGTGGTCTGTAGAAATAAAAATAAAATTAAATACACTGCGATATGTGAACTTATCATCACAAACTTATAACACTAATCCATGAATTTCATGCATTTCGATCATACATGGGTCTTCTCCATGGGCCAGGAATGGGCTAGTGGGTCGCCTGAATGTTCATGGCTCGCGTCTCCTTGCCGCAAAAACTCTCCGCACTTTGGGGGCATGGGTGTGCTATAAGAGTAAACCAACAAGTCTTTGGTAGTGGGTACTATAGATTAACTGCCTTCCCTTTAGTCTATCAATTCAACATTAAGGTCGACTATGCGCAGGAAGGTCTGTGTAGCTCTACTCGAAAATTCTAAAAACAAACAAAAACAGTCTTCCAAAGGAAGATCCTTGTTCCCATTATTAAAATAAATATTAGTTTCGCCCCCCCCCCTCTTGTTAGTTTACTCATTTGCATAAGGGAACGTGTTTCGAGAATGAAACATCACTTAACCTCATTGGAGACGCGTGCGTACAGCTACAGCGATTTTCTCTGTGCCAAGTGTTATTTCTATTTGGTTCTAGCTTGCTCTTAATATTTATCTTATAAACCATTGTTGTTAAATCTTAGTATTTATCTGATTAGTGGCTGATCCGTAATGTTATTAAATTTGTTTAATTTGCTTCGAATTTCGCGCGAAGCTACGTGGAGGCTATCTGCAATAGCCATCCATAGTTTAGCAGTGATAGACTAGAGGGAAGGCAGCTAGTCAACACCACCCACCGCCAACTCTTGAGCTAGTATTTTGCCAACAAATAGTGGGATTGACTGTCACATTATAACGCCCCCACGGCTGAAAGGGCGAGCATGCTCGGTGATAGGATTCGAACCAGCGACTTCCAGATTGCGAGTTGAGTGCCCTAACCACCAGGCCATGCATAATTAGATTCAGGGTATATTTAAATATGCGAGAGTACTACTATAGTCTACACATTTTTAATTATATTTATAGAGTTCCTCTTGTTAAGTAGTTGCAATTTGAGTACTGCTGATAGTACAGGTACCCCGGTGAGACAGCGTTAAGTTTACGAACTTACAAAGCTCAAATCCAAGGTTCGATTCCCCAGTCTAGCTTTGCTCTAAAACGAACAAACGAATGACAATACAGGTGTATTGCGACAGAAGTTTTCTAAAGACAATATAAATATATATCACTTTAAAAACCTTAAAAATTCGAAATTTTACAAGCTTGGTAAAAATGTTTTAAGAATTTTATTAATACGAAGATAGATAGAATGATGCAAATAAATGAAATAAGACCAGTGGTGGGATTCAGCCGGTTGGCACCGGTTTGTGCGA